GGTCTCTCGTCTTCTATGAAAATAAATAGGTTTCCAGTCTGATTAATAAAACCATAGCCCAGTAGATACCACTGTACTGTTTTATGGCTCTCTGCAGATCAAGAACATGTGAAGTGCAAAAAAAAGAAAAAAAGATTTTGCTATGAGTACAGAAAATGTCACTCATGTTTTGAGGCTGGTTGCACAATCGTCTGCAAGGCCTTTACAATCATTCACAAATACAAACTGTATGTAAGTGAATGAAGTGTTTACTTATACGAATTTACAGAAATGTTGTAAGTGAGAAAGCGATTGTGTCCTTGTTTAAGCCCAAGATTCAGATGATGCCTGTTTAATTTCGTTTTCAGAACAGATTTGCACAAATACAAACTGCACTCCAATTTTTCCAAGACGATCACCCATATTGAAGAGGAAAATAGAACCCTAAGATAAAAGATCTTCTAGAACAGTGTCATTTATGAGACAGCGTGGTGAAATCAGGCACTCGTCAAAATAATGAAAATGAAGAAACTGGCATTTTTCCGCTGGATTGGGAAGTTTTATCAAATTTTTGTTTTTTTGCTCAACACCCTCTATGTCCTTTAAAGAATACATTTCTGTATGGATTGTATTGAAAAACATAGATTAAAAGCACAAAAAATGTAAATTTTCAGTTTGCACGGATTCTCAAGCGAAGAAATAACTAAACTTTGGCGGCCATTTTCTTGTTAAGTTTACCTCTGAAACCAGGTGACCTCCACATCCTACAATTGCCAATATCTCGACTTGTATACAAGATAAATGGATGTTTTTTCATTGAAAGAAAGACACATGAACAAGCTTTAAGATTATACCAATAACTTTATATGCCCACAAATTGACGAGCGACTGATTCCACCTCGTCGTAACAAATTAAATTTTGCTGACAGAAAAAATGCAAAGGGGAAAATGAAAAGTGGTTGTCTTCACAGGTCATTGTCTTGAACAAGTGGTTAGAGCAGGTTCGAATGCATTATCTTTTTCTGTCGTGAGAACGACATGCTAACTCATAACTAGCTAAGTGTCGCTAGCCCTAACTTTATCCTTCTACTCAGGCCCTACCAGTCGAATAAATATAATACACCCCGCTTAAACTGTTAAATTTGTGCCCAAGGTTCCAAACTCTTTCTCTCTCTCTCTCTCTCTCTCTCTCTCTCT